TGGATCAGTACCCCCAGAGGTATTGATTTGTTGTGGGAACATGGAGGACTTTGAGACTCGACAGATTTAACGTGCATCAGTCACCATTTACTACACGGGGAGTCTTCGGCCGGCGAGGATCGAACCCACGACCTCTTGGATATGGGCCCAGCGCCCTACCGACCAGGCTATCCCGGCCTTCGAAAGGTATGCCAACGGCACGAGGTGTTCCCAGGTGGTCACCCTCCCAAGTACTTCATATATTGGCCAAACTAAGCGTGCTTTAAAGTGCCGTGTCAAGGAACATGAAGCTTATGTCAAAAAACTAGAATTTAAACACTCATCTATTGCCCAACATTGCTGGGACTCTGATCATAATTTTAATTTTTCTTCTTCTAAAGTCATTCAAAATTGTTCTTCAATATTTGATTTAGATTTTTACGTGTCTTATCATATTTTCAAAAATTGCAAACTGTTGGTCAATAACCTATCTAGCAATCCTTATCTTTCTCCTGTTTGGAAATCTATGATTAAACTTAACTAACCCCCCCTTTTTTTTGTTCCTTGCTCCCTATTTGTCATCACCCATCCCTCCTATTGGTCGTTGCTCTAAACCCTCTTGTGACGTCATCTTTTTATATATTTACCCTGTTTTGTCTTATTTCTCTCTGTTGCACTGATGAAGGTTGCCCTTTGAGCATCCAAAACAGCTGTTTGCATTTTTAAATATTTTTTGTGCTCTTAAACGTTGTTTTTACCTTACTTTATATCATTAATTACTAAGCTTAACACTAATTATGTTTTCAATGTTTACTATTTTAACTATTGTACTTTCATGCAATACTTTAAAAAAGTTAAAGTATTATATAATAATGATTTCAAAATTTTTTTTTAGTAATGTATAATTGCTGCCAAATTTTTTTTCTTGAAAACAATCTTTTTAAGCAAAATTCCTTTCTTAACCCACTGACGGTTCTGCACGTAAAAAGTCGCATTTTAACCTGCAGTCTTCTCTGCATAGCAAAACCGGTTTTCCCATGTTAACTGATAGGGGAACTGTGTGTAGGGGAGAAACATTCGCCCAATTTTGCCCTTCTCCTTAACCGCCAGTGGGAAAATTAAAAAAGAATTTCTAGCACATACACAATGTTTAACATTTTTGAGAAAGCTATAGCTGCAACTACAACTAGACAACTTACAGCTACAGATTGTGTATTTTATTTTAAAAATGCTATTAACCAGTATCATAGAAAAATACTTACTTGATCCATTGAACATATTACAGGTTTTTCCTTTCCAAAATGTCAAAGAACTAAAAATAAATTATTAAATAAATAACAAGTTAAGATTTAAATAGTATTACATGTTTAATTGAAAACTTAAAACTAACAAAGCATAATTGCAAGACCTATTTTCCTTACTTTTAGTCATTTAAAATTCCAATGAAAGTAGGGTGATCTAATGTAATATCAGTACAATTAATTGAATTTTTGTATGGATGTGGCCTCCTTTGATAGGAAGAAGCTTAAATTTGGTCAGCAACATATGAATAAGATAAAGTATTTTTTTCCTTTCAAATAAAATTTTTTGGAAAAAATGAATGGCAAATTAATTGTTCTTAGGTAATATTATTTGAAACAATAGTGAGCTACTAGAACAGAATAATGCTCTTTCTAATTCCAGTCACTCCCTGAATCCCAATTCCTAATTGCAAATCAAAAAAAAGAAAGAAACAAAGAAAAAAAAATTTAAGTACAAAAACGCAACATAAGTTACTTGTTTTCTTGCAATCTTTATTATCAAAGTTCTGATGTTTTCTATAAACTATGACAAGGATTCAGCTATTTCTGAATGATGCCATAAACCAATTTCCAAATAATTATACACCAAAAGATCTTTAATAAATTAATATTTCTGATATTATTTCACTCTTCCCAAATTATTTCCTTTAATCATCCTGAAGAAACAATTGAATAAATTGCTTGTCGAGAATACACTCCAACACATTATAACCTTGTATTAAATACAGGGCATCTGCTACATTTTAGATTTTGAAATTCATGACTTTCCATGACTACTTTCAAGAATTTTTTATGACTTAACGAAGTTACTATTTTCTCCGACAAAAACACAACAATAAATTAAAAAAAGCATTATAAAAACATTCATTAAAATGATAGGTAAAACCAAAACTGTTATACTCTGTGTCTTCATATTTATAGATTTTAAATTCAAAAAACAGAGTAAAGAAACAGTTAAAGCAATAAAATAGGTGAAAAAAAATTCAAAAGCAATTTTTTCTTTTTTTCTGCAGAATTACATTCTAAAGATACTTTTCTCGTTCATCGGAAAGGAAAAAAATACTCCTGATTTCTAACTATCTTACTACTTTAATAAAGCAAGCAAACATTTCAGTAAAAGGAAACTTAGAAGTATAAAATTAGAACTTTATACATTGTTAATATGAAGATTAATTGTAATATTTTAACTAAAATAATTCCGTCAACTTACTCTTTTCCATTCCACATATTTATTACGTTCAATTTCTGTAAATCATCCTCTCCCGTGAAAACATTGTAAATTCCATCATCTGTATCATTTTTCTAAAAAAGAAATGGTCTTAAAATTCATTATTGTTCAATAACATAATTATTTAACAAAAATCCTGAATAAGCAGTTTTTATTTCGAAAAAAACTTTTTTTCCTAATATTATTTCTTTGATTGAATTTAAAAGGACGTAATATAATAAATTTACAAAGTAAAATTTAAAATATTATTATCTGTTACACACACATATTTTGTATTAAATACTTTTTTTTTAATAAAATGAGATAAAGAAAACAGTAAATATTAAAGTTATAAGTGTTGTTGTTTCCAATCCTAGCTGGGATAGCGGAGCTATCCCAAATCTATGAGGCCGTGAGTCTTCAAAAAATCGAGGAAAAGGAGAGGTCTCTCAAGAACCTCTTCCATGGTGAAATACAGGCATTCAAGTAGATGGTGAGGACTAGCCTCGCTAGAGTTGCACTTTTTACAAGATGGAAAAAGTTTAATTTGTCCACTGAAAGTGAGGTTCTTAGTATGCCCACTGACAAATCTACAGATAGCGGTTTGGTCGACACGTGTACCCTGAAAGTCAAGGACTCCTCCAGGACGCTTGTGGGGATACCAATTGTGATACGGTGGAACAAGCCAAGCTTTAACTTTAGATTTGTGGATAGAAAATAATTTAGAATAAGTGAGGGCCGTGTTTGGATTGATTGATTGATTGAATGTGGGGTTTAGTGGCACAAGGTCCAAAAACGGACATACTGCGCCAAACACACGGTTTTAAAAACAGATTAAGAGGTCAAGTAAAGCACACGTATAAAATCAGATATAGTGAAAATTCTAAAACAATGTTGTAAAGTTACATACATTAAAATCAATAAAACTGCATGTCAATAAAACGGTAAATTTACTAATCAAATGCAAATCAATAAAACGGTAAATTTACTAAAACACTAAATAGTATAAAACAATTATATACAACTTAAAATTCCAATAGCGCGTAAAAATGCAAAGATGTTAGGATGGTGATTTTTATCTAACAAGTCTTTTATATATAAAATCGTGCTTCCAAAGAAGGTAAGGCGTTGTTGGTTAAAACATGGGCAAGCGATTAAAATATGATGAATTGAAAGTGAAACGTTACAAGTATCGCATCGAGGAGGCGGTTCTCCGAACAGCAAGTGAAGATGAGTCAGCNAATTTTAAATGATCAATTTTGATGATATTATTGATACATTTGCTTCATCAAAAGCACGGAAAATTTAGACATAGTAATTAGTTTTATTAATGTATTATAATCATATGATTATTAAATATATGTATCTCCTTAGAGATAATAAATATTTACTTTTTTATTGTTTTAAAACTGCGTGTTTTTAAAATATTTCTTTATAAATATGTAAAATAAATAATAGGTATGTTTTGAACTAATTCCAGATGATCATATACATTTCAAAATCTAGTCTTGTTCTCTCAACTACATTTTTTGTCTCAAATTTAAAGCCTAGCTTGAGTCTATGACTTTATTCATTTTACTTTATTTATTTATTAAATTGCGAGTATATTTTACATATAATATTACACGGTTTTCGAATGGGGGAGGGGGGAGGGGGGGCGCTGAAAGGGTATTGTGCCCCGGGCGCGAGTTAAGCTCGCTACGCCACTGTGACGATGACCGTGTTTGGAGAGAAGTACCTTCTTTTGCCAACTGATCAGCACGTTCGTTGCCAAAAAGACCCACGTGTGAAAGTTATAAGTAAAGAATATAGTACAGTTCATATATATATATTAAAAAAACAGCATCTTAATAAAGATTATTTTTTGGATTTTTATAAAATATTTTTTAAATTACCTAAACTAGGAAAAAAAGTTTTCAATTCTGATGCCTGCTTAAGTAATTGTTCATTTTCTAAGATAAACATTATACTCAGATGATAGTTTTAAAATGAATAGTTTCTTGTAGAAATCAAACAGCACTTTTTCCAAAAATATTTCAACAAAAAGTTAACATAAAATTCACTTTAGTTCAATTTATGAAAGAGAAATAAACAACTCACCCCATACAGCCAGGCAAATAATCCATTTTTAAAAGGTATATCACTTTTGAGCAAAGGAGAAAGTAAAATTATAATGTCTTTATACCCGTCAAATGCTAATTGTTTAATGGATTTCTTAACAATTAAACGTTCTCCTGCAATGCTAAACGCAAGTGATGCAGCAAGTCTGATGGGCAGATCATAATCCTTTAAAAAGTTGGCAGCAAGCTAGGGAAAAAAAATAGATTATTATCAATGTAAAAATTATGTGAGTATAATAATTAAAATTGTTTGCAGAAATGGAAGAAAGTAAAAGATTTCTTTTCTAGTGTTAATAAAAAAAAGCTAATTTTTTTAAATATAGGTGAAAGTTATCTTTTTTTAACAATGGTAAATACCATGGGAAAAACAGAATCTTCTACAAGGCCATCACATGGTAAATACTGTGCAAACACTAACTAAAAATATCACATATATTTCTAAACAATAAAATAAAAAAATAAATAAAACAGTCAAATAGAACTTATTCAATAGTTACTCAGTATGTGTTTTCTGTAATGATTGCCTTTTAAAGTTAGGTAAGAATCATACAGAAAAATAATAATTTTACTTCAAATTTGGGAATACAATCTTCAACTGTCTTGTGTTTAATTTTTACAAAAATATATATCTATGTATGACTGTTTTGTATTTAATTTTTACAAAAATATATATCTATGTATGCCGCCAAGATTCTACAAATATCTCTAAGGCCAGTCCCTTTCCACACCGCATAAAAGGCTAATAAAAATCTCTCTTCGAACAACATTTGAGGCAAAACTCGATGAAGCAAATAAAAATAAGGACTGGTTGGAAGGAATTAAAGATATTCCATCATGGCCAAGAGAAAAATCTGTAGCCCTTTTTCGCCTTGCCACTGGCCATGACTGTTTATCAAAACACCTGCATAGAATAAAAATCTTTTCGAGCCCCTTTTGTCCGTTATGTAACCTACAAGAAGAAATGGACGCTAACCATCTGAGACGTTGCCCTGCACTTCCTCCTGGGCCCGTGTGGGAACGTTATTGGTGGGCGAGATGCATTATTACAGACCTATAGACTCTTTCTTTTTGTAGCTCTTGTTTCCGTTTTTTGTTCTTTTTTTATATTGTTCTCAGCTACAAATTTGTCTTTCATNGATGATATTTTACTCCCATTTGTGATAAATCTTTACCTTTAAAACAACGAGGTTTCTTGGAGTGCCAAATGACGATGGGCTTTCCTTTTCAAAAGCAGCATTAACACAAAAACACACAGCGAGCCTCTGTTTAGCTTGTTTTCCTCCTTTGGCTACTTCTGCTTTCACATCTAAACTTTTAGTAGGTAAGGCATGGAATAAAAAGTCCTGTCTCATCTAAGTTATAAACATCATTATCTTCATAGCCTGCCAGAATGATTGGAAGCCTTGATTTCCAGTCTTGACACAAATCTTTATCAACATTAGCTGATTCACCACATAAAGTTTTAAAAACAATATTGCTTCTATTACAAAACTTTTAGTTAAAGAATTGGACACACCTGTTTAGATTTATGGCCTTTGCGAGAAGAAAAATGTAAAAAAATGGCTTTCTTGAGAAATTTTTTTAAAAAAAAAATGGCCTTTATTGGAGGTAGTCAGGAAAATGTGGCCCTCTAATGGGAGGAAAATTAACATTATGTCTATGGGGGAAAATTTTCGTTCCTCAAAATATTGGCCCTTAATAGAGGTGGCCTTTAAGTAGAAGTGGCCTTTAGGAGAAGTTTCACTGTATTACTTTTTTTTCCATAATCTAACGAGTATGATTAAATTATAAAGTTCACTCAATTGAATTCATTAGAACCAGGTTTCAAACAGACAAGAGGGGAAAAAATAAACTACTTCAGCATATTTACCAATAAAGGTGCATTAACGGTGGTGATTTTATCATCTTGATTACCAACAGATTCATTCCTGAGAAACTCGAATATTCTAATTTCTTTGAAAGAAACTGTTCCATTTTCATGCCACGTAATGTTTTCTTTCACCCATCTGGACCTATAATATCAAGTAAGTATTAATGTATAACTCCCTAGAATAAGATCAATTATTATTTCAAATTATTAATTCAAATTATGCTTAATTCAAATTATAATCATATCTTGAAGATAAATTTAATCATTCAATAGTTTGCAAAACAAACAAATCTTGCATTAATCGACAATTAAATTAAAATTAACTAAGCACAATTCTAAAACATTTGTACAGTTAAATAAGTGGGAGATAATTAAAGATGCATTAAAAAAAATTAATAAAAAACAGATAATAATTAGCATATTAGAAAAAAAAATTTATGAAATTCTTTGCTTTAGAAAAAAAAAATTTTGCTTTAGGAAAAATATTTTCTACTAGTTTCTAATGTTTTCTTAACTGTGTCACATTTGAAAGAGGATGGTTTCTTGATAAAGATCAAGAATTATTCCACTAGTTCAGAAACTAATCTACATAGACTGAATTATTTTAAAAGTTTAGGTAATACATAGTTTTTTTAGTAATTCATTATTCATAAGAGGAAAAAAAGAGCTTTAAAAAAATAAATAAAAGTTTTAGGAAGTTGAGCCTTCCAATAATTCATTGTCTATGAGATAGAAGATGAAGCATGGGGAAAATTAAGAACAATTCTACATAGGCTGAATTATTTGAAATATTTTATACATTACATAATATTTTTGTAATTTATTATTCATAAGAAGAGAAAAACAACAGTTTCTTAAAAAATAAATATAAGAATTTTATAAAATTACATTTCACAATTATTCCTTGTACTAAAAAATTTGAAGGTGAATGAAGAATGGTAAAAATCAAGAGTTATTTTACTAAACCAAAAATAATTCGAAATAGACTTAGCATTACTTGAAATATTAAAAAATTAAAGAATATACTAAATAAAAATTTAAAATACTTGAAATATTTTATGCAGTTTTAGCAATTCATTATTCATGAAAGGAAAAACAACATTTCCTTAAGAAAACTAACAAAAATTATGTAAAATTGAGTTCTAAAATTATCTTAGATATAGAACATTTAAAAGAAATAGTAAAAATCAAGAGATGTTATATAAGATCAAAGTCTTACTTAAATGCATACGGCCCCACTTCAACAAGATTCGGTTTCTCTTTTCTTCGTAGAAAGCCATCGGGATTAGTTATATTGAAAAAATATAGTCTTTGAGTAATTGGAAGAGGGATATCCTGCCACACATTGTAACCAATAGTCCCATTTTGGATTGCTATTTGCTAGAAATGAATACAGAAAGTAATTAAAATTGAAATTTGTAATACAGAAAAGAGCTAAGAGAAATATTGTACATTCCCCTTAATTTAGACTTTTAAGATTTTATAAGCAATTATCTTTAATTTTATCTTAGAATATGTCTGTGCTAAAAAAACTGTAGTAATAAATAATAAACTGCCTATAAATAAATGAATATGCATTTGGGTGCTTAAATCTAATTCAGAGGGGTTTAAATTTTTAAAGGTAAAAATTATAGATTAAAAATATATTTCTGTCGTTTTAAAATTAAAAATGAAATTCTTCTTTGATGGCGTAACATAAGCTTTTTTTACATCTACTTTTTTATCAAATAAACATTAAATTTTATTTCAATATCCATTATGCAATTAAAAAAATTACAAAAATCAGCCAAATATTTATGCATATTATTCAAATGTCAGTTAAATTATTGTGCTAGAAGAATAGTTTTTTCTAGTACAAAACTGAGAAAATAAAATACATGATACAAGTAATATGTTGATTGTGTGCAAAATTCAATAGCTCAAAAGCCTGAGATTAAATATAACCAGCACAATAAAGTGCACTACTATAAGGCAGAAGTTTATAATGTTCTTAAATATAATAACATATAACATTATTGTAAGCTAAGTCAAACTAAATACTAAACAAGGAAAAAAAAAAAAGTGATGACTGATCAAAGTATGACTCTGCTTGATAGGAATTGTATTTACCTTAAGAAAAAAAAAAAAAAAAANNACCTTAAAAAAAAAAAAAAAAAAGGTAAATTATGTACAGAGCATGAACTAAACCTATGCATTTTACCTGCCAAATTATTCAAATATTGCTTTTAAAAAAGTTCTGTCCCTATAAACAAAACTTGTAGTCCTTTTCCGTTCAACATAATTTAAAATACAATTTGTCGAAACTATGTTTAAGCATTTTATTTTAACCCATGAAATAATTTGTTGAATGTTTGCTACATACATGGAAAATTATTTTACTTAATTAAAAGTTATTTACTTATTAAATTAAATAAAAACTATTTATTAAGCAGAATGAATGCATCAAAATATATGATACTTTCTGTTTACCAGGTCCAAGTAAATTCAATATTTTTTGAGGGAGGAGGGGCACCTCCATTTGGTTTCGCGTAATAAATAAAAATATAATTGTTTAATTCACTCGCACCTGTGAAAAGTATCAAATATATTATAAATTAACAATTAAAAACTCAGATTAAAAAACAGCATCAATATGAATGCATTTCTAACAGGAAAAAATATTGCAAAAAAGAAGAGCCTATACAATAAGGAAATATCTATACAATAAAGAAGTTTTTGCTCTAAGACTTGATTATCATTTAAAACAAAGCTGGCCAACAAGAATATTGTGTTGCCACTATTGGCACTACATATTTCCTAGCCTTTAAAATATCGTTAATAACTTATACTTACTTTTTTAATCATTGTTAATCGAATTATATTTAAATTAAATCAATGAGTTAATCTTTATAAAAGCGAACATAAAATATTTTATTCTTTTCTTATTGATCAATGTAAAGGCTAACTTTTTATTTCAATACTAATGTAGACTCATTAATTCACTGCAGCACCTAATCAAAAACAAAAATCCATTTATAACTCTTTATTATTAATTTCTTACCACAAATATTTTTCAGTTACATGGTTATTCCGATTCTCACAGTCTTGTTGGCTATTCAGGATCCCCAAAGTATTTTCAAACCTAATGTTAATTGGGTTGGCTTTATTTTAGCTACGTTATATTTCGATAATTTGCCAATCTTGGATCTCTTCTCCATGCTGTTGTGTCCGTTAGGAACAAATTCATTCACTTTCAATTTCAAATTTGAGGCAACTGGAGGTGCCCTTTTGGGCCTCTTAGTCCCAATCATTAAAAAAATATCATTCATGCTAAGAAAACTTCTTGACGTAGAGTTATCTTGATCCCTTTAAGGGATTTTTTTAAAAAAAAAATTATGATTTGTATATTTTAAATATGGCCATTTTGAATATACTAATTCTTACTTAATAAAACAAATTTTTACTTAAACAATTTTATTCATTTTCCTTGAGACAATACTTCAACCACCACTATAATATTAATAATCATATTATAATAAGCAGTATTATTATTATTATAATAAGCAGTAATTACCGCTTGCATAAATATTTACTACCACTTTTACACTTTAATTATGATACAATTTTTCTTTAAATAAACTGCAAATGAGAATAAATTACTAACCTTTTTAAGAAGAAAGTTAAATATCACAGGAAAACAGAGGAAGAAAATTATTCCAATAATAGCTAAGAAGGCACCAATACCCAGACACACAACTATATTAAAAAAAAAAAATTAAAAAAAAAAAAAAAAAACAAGACAATCGTCATTTAAATACACCTATTAATTTCATAATATTTTTAGGAACAAATGGATAAAAAGGTAAATTGCTTTAGAAGATGCTTGTATGCAATCTATAACACAACCAAGCACTAATTCCTAGACACACAACATGAAGTATTTAAAGTTCAGACATTCATTAAATTTTATCTAAAATATAGCATTCTAGAACAACTAATTTCATTATATTTTCAAATAAAGTATTTAAAAGAGAGATTAAATAAAATAGAATTGTGATTAGTATACATTGACCTGCTCTACAATATTAATGCAATAGATGATTTGCTTACAGAGACTTGTACTATTATTTGAATTGCTTTTAAATCAATTCTATAAAAATCTTGCAACATATCTCCAGCTTTGTCTAATTAAGATTTTTCACATTTTATTTCATAGTAAATTGTGGTAACAGGGTTAACTATGATACCAGATTTGATAAGGTAGTTTCCTAGTAAGAAGACATTACATGACTATTTATTAAAGGAAAGTTACTTGTAGAGTAATGCATACTTATAGTTAGATAAAATTAACCTACAATTAAGATTTCGCTGACTAAGTAACTTAACAGGCTCAAAGTATTTTTCCTTTAGTTTACTTAAAAAATGCTGACTCCATGTCAATAGCTATGATTATTTAAAGCTTAAATAAGTTTGAATTGAAGTTAAATTTTTTTCCTCGTTAAAGATGTTTGCTGAATTTTTTGTTTTTTGGAATTTTCATTTCTGCTTTAAGTTTTCTGATCACTCTACTTTACTATCTTCTTCTAAAATATCTTTTTATATAAATAAGTTTTATACGATTACAAACAATTCTCATTATTTAAAGGCTGAAACTGTTCTTATACTTCAGATACTTTTGATAAAGTATCTTGTCAAAGATACTTTATTAATAGATTGAATTAGAGGAAAAGATACATTAAATATTTATCACAGGTTTTACACCACAAAAAAAAGTTAGCTAGGAGCAAGTAAATTCAACAGTTTTTACTTAATTATTTTATTTCTGGAATGGTAATTTTGTTTTCTTCAAAAATGAATAAATAAGTAAATAAAATAGTTGAATATACTTTGATCCGACTAAACAAAATGTACGCAAAATAAAAGTCATAGTTAAATTGAGCGATTGCCTATTTTAACCGAGTGTGATTTAACATAAATTTTATTTTACCTTCTTAAATTAAGGAAATTTTAAGAACTAGTAATTATGTATCAAAGCAACTATTGTCTACATTTTTAAAGTAACAAATCTTGGGAAAATATTTATTCAGGTTTTTTTATTAAACTGAGTTCAAAGACAAACAGGTAAAGAGATATGAAAAAAAAATTTTTTTGTCTAAATATAAAAAAATTAGAACATAATTTAATTAATTTCTTCCCAAATAAATTTTCCAATTTTTAAAGTGCTAAATTATTGTTATTACCATTTTACATTCCTATATCTTTTTTTTATTGCTAATGGCCGACACTGAACTACCATAAGTGTTGCTCATTTAAGATTACCCTGTATATTTCTAAGTCTAAACCACTGTATATAAGGTTTGAGAATAAAAACATTTAACAAATGGAAGACTTAAAGACTATAAGATTCTTAATAAGAATAACTTAAATAGAAGATTTTTTCTTAATAAGTACAAAAAATGAAATTTAAGAGCATTAAAACAATAAAATTAATAGTGAATAAGACACAGAAGAGTAGAATATTAATATTTTTTATCAAATTATTAGATCCAATGAAATTAAATTTGATTTTATAAAATACATATTTACAATCTTATGTATGAAAAATAAGTTTCTCTTTTTAGCTAGCTATTAATGAAAAAAGTATTTGAGCATCTTCTTACCATTTTTTCGATGACTTAACATATTTATCTACCTAAATTGAAAGACTTAGTATTGGAAGCATTATAGAACTCTGAACATAACATTAGTTCAAATTGGAAACCAGTTTCTTCTTTCGTCCTTGAAGAAAACTTTAGCTCTTCTGCAGGAAATGGTATTGCTTTGTAGAACTTTTCCTCATCACTATAAAAGAAGGAAAACATTCATTAGATTAAACCACAGACATGCAATAACAAATCAAAGGGAAACATATTACGTCAATGAAAGAAAAAATTACATTTAAAAGCATTCACCTTTAAATTTAATTTAAGAGATCTTTTACATAAATGTAATATACACTTAAAAGAACATAGTTTCATTTCATGTAAATGATTTTTAAAAACATTTCCACAAGCTATCCTTATAGTGTGTCCTTAGATTGTCTATATTTTACACAGAGTCATTGTTACCTGAATTTAATTTTTTAATAGCATTTAAATTATAATTAATATTTCTTATTCATAGGAATAAATTTATAATGTTTCAAATTAGATTTAAAATTAAGTACACTCTTTTTAAAAATGATAAAAATAATATATGTTTAACTGATATAAACCATAGGGAAGTAATAACAAATCAAAAAGGAAAGACATGTTAAGTTAAAGAAAAGTAAAAAAGATATGTACAATTAGTAATTTAAATATATTCATCTTAAAATTTAAATAAAACATATTTTACAAAATAGCCAAATTATTCAACAAAAAATAAGCACCTTTTAAGCACTGTAAAAAAATATCATAATTAGGCAGGGTTGGAAAGTCTTTGACAATTAACGGTTTTTATCTTGTTTTAACCGTCATGTCAAAAACTTTTGGTATTGTTTTTGACAATTGTCAAAAATCATGAAATTTCAAATAATGTAAAACGAATGATGTTTTCATACGCTACGGACAGACATATGCTGAAATAGATTGGGGTTGAATTAATTGTGAAAACGCTGAATAGAACAATGTGAACTGCGTCTTCTGCATAATTCAAAGCAAAATCAACATAGTAAAGGAAAAATCATATTTTGAAACAAGGAAAATTAAGCACTTTTTAAAAACACCCAATGAAAAAAGCACCTTTAAGCACTTTTTAAAAACGCTACGCACCCTGAAAATGCAATATACATCTTTTACATAATGATTTCATTTCATCTAAATCAATTTGAAAAGATTTGCCCCAAATCATTCTTGCCTACATTTCACAAGGAGTTAATAACCAGAATTTCAAATTATAATTCATATTTTCTAAGAAAATTTAAAACATGAATAGTATATATGGATCAAAATTCTGTGATTCATAGAAGTTGGAGTGGTGGCTTGACACAGCTTTGATGTTCTTAGAAAGCTGATATTAGAGTGCTCAGTTTTTCCCACATTGGCATACAATTTTGTATATTCCCTAGCACACATCCAATTGATTATTTGAGGTTAAGAAACTGATTTTGTTGTTTAGAGAAAAAATGAGTTGAAATTTGTTTTGAGATAATTTTAAGATATTTTATTTATTTCAAATGGCAGAGGTGAATTGACAAGTTAAAAAGCAGAATTTTAAGATATATGGAAGCTTTTTTTTGTAAAGGGAAAAAAAAAAAAACTAGAAGCATGATCAAATGACTAGTTTCAAGCTTGACATATTCCTAATTTATCCATCACCAAACATTGCAGAACAGAAGACCAAAGGTTAAATTTTTCTTCACATTATATCATCCTTAATGTATTTCATGCGCTATAAGCCCAACATTAATTATGGTCTTGATTTTACCAAAATGCAATTATTTTAGATCAGTTTATTCACCCATTAAAAATGAGTTGGGAGGTTAATCAATAGGACTAAAATATATTTTATTGGGCAGGATTTGCGAGAGACGAAAAACATAAGAAGATAGATATAATACAAATACACATTTTTACAAAAGTAAATTTTTATAAATTAGATAAATTCTTATAAGTAATAATTACATAAAATAAAGACAAATTCATAAAAAGTAGTTAGCTAATAATATCATAAAAGGTATTATTCAAAGTATATACAAATTCACAAAAGGTAGTAAAAGTAAAAAGTAGTACTAATTATTTTCCAAGTAATGGCTGTAAGTAATTATTTATTAGTTGTTTTTAGTAGATAGATAGCGTGTTTTTAGCAGAAAAATAAAAACGGATAACTATGATAATTCAATTTATTTACATATAAGCCCAACATTACTTGGTATATTTATATTTCTATGATAAATATAAACAGATTTNATGGCTGTAAGTAATTATTTATTAGTTGTTTTTAGTAGATAGATAGCGTGTTTTTAGCAGAAAAATAAAAACGGATAACTATGATAATTCAATTTATTTACATATTTTGTATGATAAATATAAACAGATTTAAATTATCACTTAAATATATTAAATAGGCTTTGAAAACTGATGGCAAATAAAAATGATAAAGACACAATATAACTGATGACAGATAGAAATTATATAGATAGGATTTAAAACTAGTAGTGAGAGAATTTTCTCTCTTTATTTGATTATTTTTCATCGGAATTTTTATTCCATTAAAACCAAATGCAGTTAAGCTGGAAACACAAGTTTTGATAACATCTTTACATGTTATCTCTACGTTAAATTAATTATCCAATGTGTTGGAATTTTTAACATTTATCTCAAACATTGTCACAACAACACTGCATTTCATAGAATATTTTTTATAAATAAATAATGATTTTTCATAATCTATCAAAGTTAAAATCAAAATGTACTAATAAAGAATAATTCAAATTTAAACAAAAATTTGGTTATTTAGATGGTTTTTGAAAAAAAATCAACATTACATAAATCAAAAGAAATCTACATTTTGAGTCTAATTTTTAATTTGACATTTTTAAAAAAATTCTATATCCTATATTTTTATTTATTCACTAAATAGCTTGGTTAAAAATTTATTTAAGTTTTTCAATAAAAAAGCTAATTAATAACAAAAATAAAATAATAACTTTACAAATTTGGTCATTCTAAATAATAGAAAGAATTCTAGAAATTTTAAAAAAATATTTCAAAACCAAATTTTTATAAAATATGCTGGCTATACGTAAAAACGTAGAGATAAGTTAAAAAAATAGCATAAAAGTAGAGTTAATTTTTCTTTAGGCCTTAAGAAAAGTATTACATAAGTGAAAAAATATATAATTAAAATTATAAACGCAGTATTGAAAATTAAAACTACTTTTTGGAAGACTTATATTTAAAAATATAGCATTTTTCTTCTAATACATTGCTTTATTAATGTCTCTAATGCATTCTTGATTAATCACCCGTGCATTAATGTACATGTAGATACATAGCTTAAATTTAGAAACGAGATGACACGAAATTTTCTTAATTAGAAAAACTGTTCACAACATAAATATCCTATAAAAAGTAAATTTTGGAATAAAAATCAACGACTGAAATTATTTTTACCCAAGTACCAAAACCAACTAAATACCAATAGTTACAACGGATAAGAAAGTATTGAAGTTTTTTGATTCTACATTTTTAAATAATTGTAAACTAAAACTAAACTTTATTAATATGAATGTTAATAAATGGAGAGTTGACGTACTTGCTGCAAAATGTCAATTATGGTACTGATTCATGAAAAACAACATTACATTAAAAATTAAGAAAGAATACTAAATAATTATTTCAATAAAAAGGATTAAAATACCAATGGTATTTCATCTTGGCAGCAAACGTCTTTAAAATTAACTATTTTTCGCGCGATCAGCACTAGATTTATTTTTCTAAATTATTATTTTAAACAGGATTCAATCAAAAATACATTTGTACAAAATAACAAAAGGAGGCTTACCTTTCGGAAATCATTAGTGGAATAAAAACCATTAAAAGTTAAAAAATATCTAATTTAGAGGATAAAATTTTTATGCAGGAGATTACTTAGTTTCTCGGACATCATGAATAATTCGTCATTCTAAAAATCTAAAATCTATTGGCCTTCACCTTTTTAGTTGATGGTCGCCAAGATTTTGACTGCCAAGTCTGGCATTTTGAGAGACATCTCTTGTAGCCAAATATCGCCAAAGTGAGGATGATGTGTTCTACGCTTCCACAATGTATGTCATGAGGTTATGACACTCTCTTACGTAATTTTCGCTAGGTTTGCAGATTTTATAAATATTTGAAAGGAAAGCGAGCTACAACTTTCACTTAACGCTAGTAATCATTTATTGCTGATTTTGGTATTCCAGTTTCGTTGGGGTTCAGGGGCTTTGGTTTTAACATTTCTATCAATGGAATATATAAAAAAAAAAGCATTTAAATCTAAATAATTTTATGCATTACATCTTTTTTTTAAAATTATAATGATAAGATTCCAATTGTTTTATGTATATTTAATTAAGCAAACTACTAATCTAATTTAACAAAATAAAAATGTCTTTTCTATAAACCAATTTCGAAACTAAATTATATTATTAAATTTTTCATTATAATCAGGATTTTATTATAAAGTGAAATTAAATCAAATCAAATTGACAATTTTTTTAAATAAACTAAAGTTGAAATCTAATGTTTAATAATTTTTTAAATTTTTAATTTAAATGAATGAACATATTGTGTTACATTTGTATAATTAAATAAATTATTAATCTAATTAAATGAGATTGATAATTTTTTTAAATTAACTAAATTTGATGCTAAATTATACATTGTATTAAATTTTTAATTATAATAATATGATCGCTATTGTGTTGCGCATATATAATTCGATAAAGTAAGTATTCCAAAAATTCTAATTAATGGTAAATCAACATTTGTTCAAATAATATAGTTTTTCCGGTTAGTTTGTTAAACCAATAACCAATATAATTTAACAATAGTTTTTTCAGTTAGCAACCATTTTAGTTTCAAGAATAAATATGTATCTATCTCTTTTTAACTTGCAGGATTTTCACATTGTATTTTTTAAAATAAAATTGAGAATGAAAAAAAAAAAAAAAAGCAATATGAAGTTATTACAATTCTTCGTTTTTTCAAAAACTATATGAAACCTGATTATACAAAATGTGAATGAAAAAGTTTGGAAAAATGAGTTCCACACAAAAATACAAAATTTGACCTCAATATTGACACTTTCAAAGTATTTATTTTAATGGATAAAATCTCTAAAATATTTTCCTATATTATTTTTGTTTAAAATACGCAGATAATTTCTTATATTAATTATAAGACTACATTCTTTTTGAATCAAAACTCTCGCTAAATGGTTTTAATTTTAATTACTTTTAAATTGTTAATATGATTTGGTTAACAGGATTTTTTTCTTCTTCTTTTTTTACCTCTTGGACAATTACAACTAATATAATTATGCGGCTACCACGCTTTTGTTTGCTAGAGTTTTCAAAGTAGATTTTTCAAATAAATTCTGGCTAAAGAAGTTAGAAAACGATATATTGGAGCTTTATATTTTCAAGAACTGATAATTTTAAGAACTGATAATTATATTTTCTAGAAATGTAAAAAACTAAGAAGCCATCGAAAACTAACTGTACAGAAAGTTAAAAAATTTAACCTACAAAATAAGAAAAAAAGTGAGTGTTTAGGAGATCAGCAGAGAAATACAAAATTCGGCTTTAATATTGATATTCTAAATACTTTTTTAAAAATAAATAATTTAAAAGTTTTTATTTATTTTATTTATTTATTTGAACTTTCGCCATTGAAAACGCATGCAAATTATAGCTATGTGGTATTTCCAAAACATTCAATAAATCTCCTTGAAAAACGAAAATTTTCGTTTTTTTTAATAGATAAATAAAAATATTGGTAATGAAAGATACATGCAAATTTCGTACTGATATTTATGATCATGTCATATAAACTTCAAACACTCGAAATATTCTTAGTTATTAGTGATCTATTTGTATGATATTAGGACACATAAATATAAAGATTATGGGGCAATATAAAGATAAGCAACATTTTCAAACTCTCCAATCGGGCCTATTTCAAGAGATCTTTTTTGGGGAAAAAAACTCTGCGATATTCGTATAGGAAATAAAATGTTTCTGAATTTGAGCTTTTATCAAATGGAAATTCCAGAAACTTGTAAGTTACTTAGCTGGAAACAATGCAAATGATTACTTTGATGTAAAAAATTTCACCGTTGAAGAAAAAAATGTAATTTAGGACCCGATCCAGAAGACAAGGGAACTCCTGGATCAAGTATTTGCCTTCGTGGAGGGCTTTTTGATGAAAGTAAGCCGCATTTCTGTTACATGGAGTGGAAAATCACGAAAACCACTCACGATTAGACTGACGGCAAGAGGACTATAACGCATGATACGTCTTTCACTGAGGATATTTTGCGCCAGCATTGTGGTCGGTGCGAGCCGGGTGCTGAATTCCAATCGATCAGGGATTCGAACCCGGGTCATCTCATTGGGAGGTGAGCGCTCTATCCCCTGAGCCCTTATGGCTCCAATATGTATTAATTGAAATAAAATAAGCTATGTTCTAAAAAGCAAAGTTAACGGGAAATTCGTTTCGAAAAACCGTAGAAAATCGTCATTGACAGATGACGCTTAATTAATATGAACACTCCAGAGAGCGCAAAAAAGAAAACGGACCACCCTGAATAACTTTTGATCTAATGATCGGATCTTCAAGTTCTAGGACTCAAACTTAATGGTTTTAGAAAATAATAAGAATTAAACAATAAAAAATCTTTACTAAAATGTATTTTTACAATGGAATTATCTTTGGATAAGCAAATTTTATAATTGAAAGCAAAAAATTGGCGATTCGCTTAAAAAGTTCGCGAAATGTAGCGAAATTTCTAAAAAGTAAATTTAAGATTACGGAGTCCAAATTTTGGAACGCTCTCCTGACCAAACTATTTGGACCACGACTGCACCTTATATTTTAAGGGTCAGAAATTTGAATCCGATGAAAAAAATATATGTTTATTCAGAGAAAGTACGTCTTTGTGTCTGATTTCGTAACTTAAAATATCGCCTGCACTTATTAATTAACATATTTGAGGTCAACCACTAGCACCATTAAGATTGGGTCCTAAATCGTGAAGATCCGATCATTAGATCAAAAAGTTATTCAGGGTAGTCTGTTTTTCTCCCTTCTTTTTTTTGGCGCACTGTACGGTAATATATACTACTAGTATTATGGTAATTAATGCAAATGTGATAAAAACTCTACAACGGGTCTTTCTCTGAATAAGAAATTATTTTTTCCAGTGAATGATAGTAGACAGTTTATTAATATTTAAATAGACATTAAGATGTGAGATAGAGAAATGGTCATGCTCCAAAATCCTAATCAAGCTCTAATTAACTTTTAATAATTTCGGCTTTGGTTAGCTATGTATTTCGCAAAAATGTTGAAGGGTTATGTAATAAGTACTAAGTATGCTAATGTAGGTACAAAATATATTGATGTATTTGGTGATTATTAAGACTGTACCAATACTAAGCAATTTTTACAGTGATACAATGGAAATAAGTGTTTTACGTCCCCTCAAAACGGTTATATACGGGAGAAAATTGCTTGAGGGGGGTAATGTTTGAATACAATGAGTTGTCAACAGACGACAACGAGCAACAGAATCATGACAAGATGCTAAATACATTTTATCTTTATTCTATAGAAATAAACCGGAAAAAAACGAGTTTTGCTTACTTCAATAACGTAAAGCCACCGAAAAGGACAACAAATAACATTTAATAAAACAAAATTGAAATTATTTTAGCTATTTTAATAGAAAAATTTAGTGGTAGAATCAGGTAAGTGTCTTTTCAGAACAAAAGAAAGTTGTATTGGAACTACTATTTTATTATCTATTTATTAAAAGGTGGAACTAATAATTCTTTTCTTTATTTTGTTTACCACTGTCTAATTTGAAACAAAAATTATGCAATCATGCTAAAAACCAAATTCTTGAGTCTTTTTTTAATTCACCCCGTGCTAAGAACGGGTATTCAGCTAATAATAAATAAACAAATAAAATAAATCCCCCCCCCCGGTAAAATAGCTTAGTTCTAAAAAGATAAATCCATAAACTTCGCCTTCTCTTCACACATTCAACTTGCGTATGTTTAGTTTAGGGTAAAAAAATTTGTTTCAATTTCCTTAAAAAATAAAAGCGAAAAAGAAAAATAAGGCGTCGAACGGTCAAAAGAAAATAAGGAAACTTAGTTAGAGAGGAAAATATTCAAAGTACTTACCCGTATGATTATTAAATGTCGTGTTTTAGAATGTAAGAAACCGGCCTACGTTATTCGCAACTTCTTCCTGAACTTATGTTCATTGATATTCAAAATGTATCTGAGTTCTATAAATCTAAAAGCAAACCTTGCATGATGTAGAAACCTTCTCATCAACGCATTCTCAGAAAGAAAAAAAAAATGTGAAAATTTTATGAAAGTTTTAGTGGTGACACAAAAAGCAAACGATTTTCTAAAGAATTCTTGTCGGAAACGCTAGGACTAAAATTCTACTTTTTATTTGTTTTCCGTTCTCATGCAACATATCGTGAGTGATATGATTTGTTTATTTCTCATTGTAACACTTTGTGTATTTATGTTCATCAATTGATTAATTTTAACCTTGATCACATTTTGAATTAAGATTGTATTTGTTTACTTAGCTGAACACCATCTGCTTACCTTAGAAACGATTATTTCCATAATAGTTTTTAATAAAAAATTAGCTTCTTTGAATTTAAGGGCTTATGGAATGAATAAAACGATTATTTAATCAATATAAGAACTTCACACTTAGTACCAAGCAAAATCTGTGTACTGTCATAATTGACAGAAGAAGATAAATGACTGCAAACTCTCTGTATAAGTTAACTATAACCTTTATATATTAACCTCAATGAATTATTTAACTATATATAGTATGCCGGGCATGTAAAGAACGCAGTTTTGACGTCATAAATTAGGAGAGTGTTTATGAAAAAAAAATTAACTATTTAAAATGAATTGTCATTAATTTCTCATAAAAACAATAGTTTTCTTTTTTTAAATGGGCCTGTTAGATATAATATTTCCCAATATATTTGTCCTT